ACTCCAATCTTATCTTTTGATAAGTTCCAATTTTATGTTATTTTTGTAGATCACTTCTCTAAGTATACATGGATATATCCTCTTTCCCATAAATCTGACGTTTCTCGCATTTTTTCCACTTTCTAGAAGTTGGTCGAAAACTATTTTCAGTCTACCATTAAAACAGTCTACTCTGATGGTGGCGGTGAATATCAAGCCCTGGCATCCCATCTCTCAGCTTGTGGTATTCAACACCTCAAGTCTCCCCCACATACTCCTTAACTAGTTGGTTCTGCCGAACGCAAACATCGGCATATAGTAGAAACTGGACTCACACTTCTACATCAGGCTTCCATGCCTTCAACATTTTGGACAGCAGCCTTTCAAACTGCTGTCTACCTAATTAATCGAATGCCTACACCAGTTCTACAATACCAGTCCCCCTTTGACACACTATTTCACAAACCTCCTAACCTTCGTAAACTCCAAGTGTTTGGTTATTTATGTTATCCTTGGTTACGTCCCTATGCCTCTCATAAGTTAACATACCGCTCTACTCCTTGCGTCTTTATTGGTTACTCACTTGAACATAATGCTTTCCACTGTTATAATCTCCACACTCACAAAATCTTCATATCACATCACGTTATCTTTGTTGAGTCTAACTTTCCTTTCCAAACCCTTCCATATCTTGCCATACAGACCACTTCACTATCTCACTGGAGTATACCTTCGGACCAATCGGACGAGCCTCCCATGACTTCGTCTACTTCCTCCCCTCCTGATCCGCACTATATCACTCCAGTTCAACACTTGCCCGTTTCCTCTGTTCCTGCTCCACTCCACTCTTCCCCAATTGATGGGGCAATATGTTCCGAAACACAATCATCCTCTTTACCTCCTTCTCGCCCAAGTGCCCCTGACGTGTCTCCACTTGACCCGGCTTGTGCCACAGATCCTCACCCAACATCACCTCCCAATCCTATCATCTCCAATCATCCAATGACCACTCGCTCTAAGCATGGTATTTTTAAACCTCGTCAGGTACTTAACCTACAAGCTATCATGAATTCCTCATCCCCCAACGTTGAACCCACCACCTTCACTCAAGCCCAAAAATCTCCGCATTGGCATACTGCCATGAGTGAGGAATATAATGCCCTCCTCCATAATTCAACGTGGGATCTCATTCCTTTCCATCCTTCACAAAACATCATCGGGTGTAAGTGGGTCTTTAGAATTAAGCGGAACCTAGATGGCTCTGTTGCCCGATATAAGGCACGCCTGGTCGCCAAAGGGTTTCATCAACGACCTAGAGTTGATTTCACTGAGACATTTAGTCCTGTTGTTAAACCCACTACAATCCGGCTTATCTTGAGTCTAGCTACCACTAAAGGCTGGCAATTACGACAATTGGATGTTAATAATGCCTTTCTACAAGGATCTCTATCTGAATATGTTTTTATGCAACAACCCCCCGGTTTTACTCATTCTCAGTATCTACAGCATGTTTGCAAACTTCGGAAAACCATTTATGAACTTCGTCAGGCTCCGAGAGCTTGGTACACTGAACTTAGCTCATTTCTAACTTCTATCGGCTTTCTTAACTCCAAATCTGACACTTCGTTGTTTCTGCGACATCATCATGGAAACACAATGTATATTCTGGTATATGTGGATGATATTATTGTCACATGCAACAATCCCATCAGCATCCAAGCGTTCATCAAACAGTTGGCAGCTCAATTCTCGCTTAAGGATCTCGGACCCTTGAGCTACTTTCTGGGCGTCGAAGCTACCTTCACATCTTCCGGTCTCCTTTTATTACAACGCAAGTACATTCAAAATTTGTTATTAAAGACAAACATGCAGGATGCAAATACAGTTACAACCCCCATCTCTACTAGTGGTTCTCTCAAATTATTGGATGGAAGTCCTACTACGGAACCCACTCAATACCGCCAAGTTGTTGGCTCTTTACAATACTTAGCTCTCACGCATCCAGACATCTCATTTGTTGTCAACAAATTATCACAGTTTATGCAGCAACCATCTACTCTACACTGGTCTGCGGTCAAGAGACTTCTACGATATCTTAAAGGGACCCTAAATCATGGACTCTTTTTTCGTAAACACTCTCCACTTCGTCTCCATGCCTTTGCCGATGCTGATTGGGCAGGTAACCTTGATGATAGAACATCCACATTGGGGTATATTATCTTCCTTGGTGCTCATCCAATCAGTTGGAGTTCTAAGAAGCAAAAGACAGTCGCCCGGTCTACAATTGAAGTTGAATACCGTGTCATTGCCGCTACCACTGCAGAACTCAATTGGATCACGAATCTACTCTAGGAACTCAACATCGATTCCACCCCTACAATATATTATGATAATATTGGAGCTACCTATCTGTGCGCTAATCCGGTATTCCACTCCCGCATGAAACATATTGTTATCGACTTCCACTTTGTACGTGATCAAGTTGTCCGCCGTCAACTTCATGTTTCTCATGTTCATACGGCTGATCAATTGGCCGACTCATTTACAAAGCCTCTAGCTCGTAAACTTTTTGCATTATATCAGTCCAAGATTGGCCTCCTTGATCTGAGCACCATCTTGCAGGGGCATGATAAGTAGATGAGATTTCCCTAACTGTTTGAGGAAATCTCTCTACTCTGTTGAGGGAAATCCTCTAACCTGTTGAGGAAAATTCTCCCTTCTAACCTGTATAAAAGGAAGGGGGATATATTAATAACAATCAACTTCTTCTACAACTTGTTTATCTATTTATTTTCTAACAATTTATCCTTAAAAGTAAATAGATTTATGTCTCAATAACGTTATGCATAAGTGATATGATTACAATGACCAACCGATCGAAAGATTCAAGTATTTCCTATTAATGCATTAGATTTGGGCCCCTAAAAAGAGTGCTTCTCAAAATATGAAGTAACGTCTAAATTCTCTAACCTAAATACTCTTCCCCGAGTTATTTTACTAATTTAAATATCAGATGCATATGATTGTCTGATATTAAAAGTATGATTGGGTGATCATAATTCTCAAAGGCCTAAGTTATTTGAAGAGGACCCGATACACGCTTTAATATACACTCTCACGAATAAGTCAATTAGATTTATATTATAGGCATCATCATTTAGTTTTTTCCAGTCCAGAAAACAAACTTGTCTAATGGTTGAATCATTGAATCCACTTGTGTGTTTATCATTCTTTTCGTTCGGAAAGAATTATATATATATATATATATATATTAATCAGAACTAATATATATCACTTGATTCCTTTAAACCTCGTCAAGGTAAGACTTAGTCCTCTCAATGCCTACGTACTACAAGCCAATGCTAATAAGGTAGGACATGGTTATCGTGAAGTCAACCACCTTATTGGAAGGTGGATCCAACTCTAGGGATGGTGTCAAAGGTCAACCACTCATTTAATAGTATAGTAGATTTTGACTTAGTTGGAAGCCTCTCCTTCAATCCTCCTAATCCTTTCACTCGTTCACTTTGACTTGTTGTTCTGCCACTCCTTCAACTGCTACGCTTACTTCTAGTTGTGTCCTACTTTCTTGGTTACTGCAGATTTGGGATGGGAAGAGCTTGATTTGTCTCTGAGACTGTATGTCTGCTGCTGAAGAAGGTGAATACAAAACGTTTAAAGAGGCATTTGAATTGGGTTGTCATCTTTTTTGTTCCTGTAGACATAACAGTGATGTATTCCGAACTCCTGGTTCATGATATCATCATCATCATCATCACCATGGGCTTCCAAGACCATCATCCATTGCAGCGGAATTTTGCTAGCTTCTTCTCCCACAAACTATCTGATGACCCGAGGAAGTGGAAGGATGAAGCTTTTGAGTTCCTTTTTGGCCATGCACAGTGCTCATGTTCATGTTCATGTTTGACCATCATAATTTGGTCGTTGTCACCCCTCTTTTATTTTAGGTGCTGTTTGTCGTTGTTCGTTTTTTTCCTTGGTTAGATCGTTAGGACACGAGAGTTAGTTCGATCGTCTAAATGCAGCAGTACCTAAACCCTTTTGCCGTACATACATTCCATTTCTGAGTAGTGACAGGTGATATAATTATCGGGGAGTCGGCATCACAATGTCTTGTCTTGGCCAATGAAGTATTCTTCTTAATCTTTCAAGATGGATCAGCAAGATAACGGATGGAATATTATAATAAGACCGAGCACATAATTATCTAACTTGATACTTTTTTTCTTGATGTGTGGAGGATGATCATTGAAGTCTCAGATATTGCAGCAAAGAGAAAGGCTGCGCAACTCCAATTGCAGGGATCCAATTCTGGGTTCAGGGAAGCTGAATGAGGTCGTTCCTTTATGATCCGAGACCATTTTGCTCTAAGTTAGCAGGTGATGGAAGAGTCCCATCAGTTCATCCATTGGTTCACCAAGGGGCTGATAATGCCTGAAACCAAGCAATGCGGCGTGTGATGCACTCTGTTAATACTCTGGCATTTCGATGGTAATGACAGTGTTTGATGTTTGAGGATTGAGGTCTCAATGTAGAAGAAGCAGCAGCAACTCTATGAGCTTTGCTGGGCATTGCGCTCGGCTACAGGAGTTCCGACAGACTCTGCAGCCAGCAGCAGCTCCACCACCTCCTTCATGCTCGGCCGCTGCTCCGGATCCGGGTGGCAGCACGCCAGCCCCAGCTTCAGCACCAGTTCCATTTCCGCCACCGGGAACTCCATCCTCTTGTCCGCCGCCTCCGCCAGTTGCCCCTCCGCGTATACCTCCTTCACCCAGTCCACCAGCACCCAGTCGTCGTCCTCCACGCGCTCCGCCCTCTCGATGGGCCGCCTCCCGCACGCTACCTCCAGCACCACTACCCCGAAGCTGTACACGTCGCTCGCCGCCGTGGGCGCCGACGCCACCGCCATCTCCGGCGCCAGGTAGCCCAGCGTCCCCACCACCCTGGTGCTGCACGGCGCGGCGCCGCGTTCGTAGAGCTTGGCGAGCCCGAAGTCGCCGAGGCGCCCCCGCATGTCGCCGTCGAGTAGTATGTTGGCGCTCTTCACGTCCCGGTGGAGCACCACCTGCTCCCACCCCTGGTGGAGATACAGCAGCCCCTCCGCCACGTCCACCAGCACCCGCCGCCGCGCCGGCCAGGCCAGCGCTGGCCGGTGCTCTGCGTCGGAGAAGAGCCACTGGCTGAGGTTGCCGTTGGGCATGTACTCGTACACCAGCATCAGCTCGTTCCCTTTGCGGCACCAGCCCTTCATGTGGACCAGGCTCCGGTGCTGCAGCCGCCCCATGCTTGATATCTCCGCCATGAACTCCCTCAGCCCCTGCTTCGAGTCGTGTGACACGCACTTCACCGCCACCTCCTCCATCTCCGCCTCCCTTGCTGCACTTCCTCCGCCGCTATCGGCTCCGCGGGAGATCGAGGCAGGGAGGACTCCCCTGTAGACCTTGCCGAAGCCACCGAAGCCCAACAACCGCTCCTTACAGAACCCATTGGTAGCACTCCAAAGGTCCTCGTAGTTGAACCTCCTTGGCCAGTACTTCGATTCCCACTCCTCTTCTTCCTCCTCTTTGCGGATTCTCGCCTTTCCCCTCCTCCTACAGTGGTAGTACAGTCCCAAGACGCAAAGGAAGGCGATGGCGAGGCAGGCAGAGGCGACGCCGGCTATAAGTCCTACAGAGGTTGAGGAAGACGATGGCGGCGACGGCGGCAAGAAAACGGGCAAATTGGAGGTGTTGAGCTCCCTGGCCGCAGCGCCGGTGTCGCTGAGGCTCCAGGCCAACACCCGTTGCGCCTCCACCCACTTCACCTTCGACGCCGAGAACCCAGCGTACATCTCAGGCGACACGTAGTTGGCGATCACGGGATCGGTGTAGGATATCAGCGGCCACCGCGGCCGTGGTTCCTGGGCCGGCGCCACGGTGACATTGATCTGGAACAGAGGGCCGTGGAAATCGATCCACGCCCGGATGTTCCGCCCGGATCGCATGTCGAGCGGCACGAACTCGGGCTCCGTCGACGATCCGTTGGCCCGGTAGAACCCGGCGGTGTGGGTGACGGCGGACTCGACGAAGTTGAGGTCGACGCCGACGTGGTTGCCATCCTGGTCGTTGAACTCCGGGTTCCGCCCGGCATCGAACTCGACGACGAGGAGCGGCGCCGGGAACTGGCGGGTGGCGTTGGAGAAGACGCCAAAGTACTGGCCGGAGAGAGCACCGGGCGGGGAGGTGGAGTTAGAGAGGACGAAGGCGAGGCCGAACCCAGGGCTGCTGTCGATCTCGGGGAGGATGGAGAAGACGAAGGAGGTGGAGAATGAGGAGAGGGCTTGGCCGGGGCCTGAGGCCAAGCGGAGGCGGTCGGGGTAAAAGGCCCGGCCGATGGAGTAGTAGTTGGAGTCGTTGGTGAGGCGGAGGACGGAGTCTTCGACGCGGGCGTCGTCGACGAGGGTGAGGTTGGAGACGGCGGAGAAGGAGTTGAAGAGGAAGTTGATGGCGGAGGCGAAGGGGAGGCTGAGGCTGAAGAGGAAGAGGAGGAGGTAGTGGTGGATGGAAGCAGCCATGATCTGTAGATCGCCGCTCGCCTGCAGCTTTATCTGCTGCTTCTTGTTTTTGTTCGTGGAGTGGTCAATAGACGTCTTTTGATGAGTTGCGGGGGTCGGTCTGTGCATAGGGCCCCACATAAGGTGGGGTATGGACTAGTGGTTGCCTTTCTTTCGATGACCTGTGGGGTGAGCACATACGGTGTCGTAGAATGTTCTTTGGATCACGTTCAGATATTCGAACCTCTGCAGCTTGAAGCTTCCTTACAGCTTCTTCCCCTGTGTCACTAGTTTGACTTGGAAAGTTGAGACATGCCTAATAAGCATCAATCTACATGGCTTCATTGGTCGTCTTAGATACGATCTGGAACGCGTTAAAAATCAAGTGCAGAGGTGAAAGGGTAGTGGCATTTTATCTCGGGTTCTCTCATACCCTTTTAAATCAAGTATAATTAAATTGCATGGTTTATGTTCATTGGATAAGCATATTCATAGTCAGTCCAATTAATGATATATTATTAGAACAATTTACACTAAACTCCACAGGTATGGTTTTTGGATCGGACATGATAAAAATAACTTAATTTTATTTTCTCCTTATTTATTATGACATTTTTGTATCTGTCCAGCCTATCTAAAAAAAATGACAAATATACTTAAATTGATGTCTTAATTGTTCTCATTACTTGTTCATGCAATATTCTTCTTGATAGCTGCCCCAAAGTCTGCTTTGACTCTATACATCAAACATACCTTACTTAATTTAATCATATACAGTCACTAAATTCTTTTATCACCATCATCTATCATTCATATTGGTCTCCAGTGAGAAAAAATAAAATAAAATTATGAACTTTTCTCAACATATATCCATATCTTTCCTTCACCAGCTTCAGAATTAAGTTCACATCCAGGGTAATGCCAAGTATGCAAAAGAAAGATAAAGGATCTGTTTAATGCTCCAAAATATTATTGCAGATAATACATAAGTTGCGGCCAGTGTAGTACTGAAGCAGAAAACAGTAAAAAATCTATCCAGGGAAGAAACAGTATCATCATCACGTGGTTGTACATAATTATTTACAGACTTGTTTGGAAATAAGAAGCTTTGTCTCCAACAAGAAGATCCCATTAAACTTGCTTAACGCTGCCACCGCTATTTATTAGTGGTTCCTTGTTCCTCGCCCTCTCTGAGAAACCCTGCAACCAATTAACAAGTGTTGATGGAAAGAAGGCAACATTTGGAAGACTTGGAAAAAAAAAGAACTGAACCGAATCACTTTGGATTGATAGTCATCTTACTTTTAGCATCTTACTTTTTAGATTGATAACAAAATAAAAGAAAAATAATAATAAAAGAGAATATTATAAGAATAATCATCTTACAAGAATTGAAGTACATTATATACAAAGAAGAAAGATAATTCTACAGAATCATCATCTTATAAGAAAAAGGAAATAACATCATCACAAAAAAGAAGATTATTTTACAAGAATATTATGAAATACTATCTTCTCAAATGACCCGATATAATGTACTGAATTATCTTGATATGATTTTTATTTTCTTTCTTATTTGTAATTTTCTTTTCTTTATGTATTTATGACCTATATAAAGAGGCCAAGTATTATAATGGAATCATTAGTCTTGAAATAAATATTAGTTTTGTTTTTCCACAAATTGTATAGTGCAAGACCACAACTTCCTCAAGTCAAAAATTATCCCTTACATTCCTCTCCTCTTTTATCCTTAACGAAAACCCACAAACCAATCTCTCAACATCTGAAATCACCCAGAAGGGTGTCAAATCACTACTTGATAATCTTGGTATGTGATTGAATCTTCGCTTTATTCTTTATTGCTTAAATCAATATTTTTCCAAATCGAGTTTCTCTCTCTCTCTCTCT